CTATGGGCAATGATATCTCTTACGCTAAAATGTAGTGACTATGTACTTTTTGTCTTATTTGCAATTTGAATTAAAAATGCATTTTGAATAACAGAGTCTAATTCATTCTTGGGGCAATGTATACTCTATTACAACAAAGTCCCAGAAAATATACAAGGTCTCTCTATTACCAATTTTAAATATTTAAGTAAAGTAAAACTGAATAAAAAGGTGTGTATAGAAAAAAGACCCATACCAACCGATATTTAAATGGTGAATCTCACCATCATCCTTCACAGTTAGCTACCGTGGGTAAATCTTTGTTTCAGAGAGCACGAGGGATCTGTGACAGAAAACATCTGGCCGCCGAACTTCAGCACGTCAAGCAAGTATTGCAAGACAACAAGCTTCGGGTCCCGCGCCTACGTCACAGTGACCGAGTGAAGCCGGCCACAGTCGAGCGTGTATCTGCTGTACTACCATATGTCAGAGGAGTCACAGACAAGGTTGGCTACATCTTGAAGCGAGCTTCTATTAAAACATACTACAAGCCGCCGAAGAAGATTAGTCAATTTTTACCATCCGTCAAGTGTAATATCCCTCTACAAGATGCAGGAGTGTACAAGTTAGATTGTGAATGTGGTCTCTCTTACATAGGTCAAACAAAAAGATCCATAAAAACCCGCGTGAAAGAACATATAGCTGACGTGAAGCACCGACGCTCCGGGAAGTCTGCAGTCTGCGATCATGTTCAAGATCGTCCCCACCATTACATTCGTTTTGATAAACCACAAATTCTCGCAAAAGAACACCGACTCCTACCAAGGATGATACGCGAGGCTATTGAAATTAAAAAACATCCAAATTTCAATAGAGAAGATGGATGGGTGCTGCCACCTGCTTGGGATCCTATAATTAACAAAATTAAACCCAAACCTAAGCATACCACTGCAAGACTTCATGATACTATAAGCTCGTTTTGCGTAAATCGGACCAAAAATTAATATTCAAAAACTGAAGGTAGCCGGACTAACTATGACATTGGGACGTCAAACATCTCAGTCCCCCCCGTGACCATGGTTGCTGTAAAGCACCCGAAACGTCGGGAATTAAAAATAAGTAAAAGTAGTGAAATAAACGAGATAAAATCCGTAAATTTAGTTTTATTCAATGAATAAAAAGGGTTATTATGATATGAATGAATACATGGTTGATAATAACCCCTGGGAATGAGTGGTCGCTTCCAAG